TTGACATAGAGTATTCCAAAGTAAAATCCTCTATGTCGTTTTCAATTGAGCTTAGTACCTCATCTTTTCCCTCAATTTCAAATACATCTTGGACCCAAGTGTCGCAAGTGTCGATCGCAAAGAGAGAGTGATTATCAGTGGGGTATTTCATGGAGTCGTAGATATTAAATTCGACTTTTTCATCATCGAACTCCATGGTTAACACTCCACTGAAAACGTCAATTTTTGCCTTGGCCGTTTTCAAAAAAGGCCTGCCTAGTAAAATTGGGACTGCATTTTTATCGTTCTCCATTTCAAGAACGTAAAAATCAGCGGGAAAGATTAAATTATCCACCATGACGAGAACATCCTCTACTACACCTTTTGGGTAAGCATTGGATCTATCGGCAAGTTAGATAACAACCCCCGTTTCATGTAAAGGTCCTAGTTCTAGGGACTTATATAGAGAATATGGGATGACATTGATTGATGCACCCAAATCTAACATAGCCCTAGAAGAACTAGAATTTCCAAGTTTACATGGTATAGTGAACATTCCCGGGTCACTATACTTTTAGGCAGTTTCTTTTGAAAAATGCCCGACACTCTTTCGCTTACTTGGATCTTATGCTTGCCATTCAACTTGTGTTTCTTTTTAATTGTGCAAAGTTCTTTTAAAAACTTTGCAAACCTAGGAACACCTTTTATTAAATTGAGAAGAGGAATATTTACCTCACATTTGCTGAAGGTCTCATAGATGTCTTTGTCATTGTTGTATTTCCGGTTATCCTTGAGAGCCTCCGGGAAAGGTGGCACCGGCTCAAATGAATCGATCGATGGGAACTTTTTTTGAGGTGTGATCTCCTCCTCTTTTTCCTCTTCATTTTGAGGATTTGTGCTTGGCACCAAGATCTCCTCCTCCTCCTCTCTCACATGGCTCTTTGCTTTTGCCTTAGCCATAATCAATTCTTTGCCACTTCTCAAAGTGACCGCATGAGCTTGTTGTCTTGGATTCGGCTCCGTTTGAGATGGGAGTTTTGACGAATCCCTAGCTTCAAGCCTACTCACGGCATTTGAGATTTGGCTCATTTGGCTTTCCAAGTTGTGGATGCTAAACTTTGTTGTTTCTTGAAATTGGGCCACACTTTCTTGCATCGTAGTCATGTTCATGGCTAGTGCTCGAATCATGTCTTCGATGGACATGTTCGAATTCGATGTTTGGCCTTGTTGTTTATATTGTTGAGGATGAGGGTTTGATTGTTGAGGGGGTTGAGAGTTTCCGTACCTTAGATTTGGATGATCCCTCCATCCCGGATTGTAGGTGTTGCCGTGAGGATCGTACCTCCTTTGGCCTTGAAACCCCAAAGCATTGACTTGCTCGGAGTTCTCCTCTTGTAGAGTTGGGCAAGAATCGGTGGGATGCCCTTGTGTTGAACATATGCCACAGACCTTGACTTCTTGGTTTTTTGGATTTAAGAGGAAATCTTTAACCAAAGAAGTCAAGCCGGCCACTTGACTCTCTAACGAGTTGTTGGATTCCGCCGCCATGACTCTCTTTGTTGACGGCCGATCATAGTGTCTACAATTTTCGGCCAACTCCGAGATAAGATTCCTAGCTTGAGAAGGAGTTTTGTTGACTATTCCTCCTCCACATGCGGCATTAATCATCCGTCTATCATCATCGCAAAGACCATCATAAAAGTAAAGGATGAGATCTTGCTCCGAGTAGCCGTGATACGGGTAGCTTGCACAAAGTTTCTTGAATCGTTCCCAGAATTCGTAGAACGATTCATCATCTTTTTGCTCCACATTGCTGATTTGTTTCTTTAGAGATGAGGAGATTGAGGCAGGATAACACCTTTCGAGGAAGCTCTTCTTCATGGCCGCCCAAATGTCTATGCTTCCCGAGGAAAGATAGAATAACCAATCTTTGGCGGTGTCTTTGAGGGAGAATGGAAAAGCCCTCAACTTAATTTGCTCCTCGGTAACACCGTTCGGGCACATGCTTGTGCAAACGATGTGGAACTCCGAAAGATGTTTATTCGGATCCTTTCCTCTTAGCCCGTGGAAAGATGGAAGTAGATGTATGAGTCCGGATTTCAACTCAAATGTAGCACCCGCATCAAGAGTTGGGAAGGTGATACATAAGGGTTGTTGATTTAGATCGGGAGCTGTGAGCTCCCTCAGCGTTCTTGTTTCAAGAGCCATTGATATTGGCTCTTCGGACTCGCTAGATTGAGAACTAGCACTTGAGGATTCTCCCGAGTCGGTATTTGAGAATTTACTTTTTAACCGCTCGAGATCTTTTTCTATTTCGGGGTTTGTTTGGTAGGTGAGTTGGTTTATGGATCGGGTTTTTACCATATACTCAAACAAAGCTCAACAAAATAGAAATCTTTTATATATAATTTTTTTTTGATTTTTCTTGAAATAGAAAAAAAAAGAAAAATTAATTGCCTTTCCCCGGCAACGGCGCCAAATTTGACGAGCACTTTGTCACTGTGCGTCAAAATAATTCGATACTAACACTTATACGTAGTATAGGTGAAGTAGAGTTCGTATCCACATGGAAAGGAACAATTCTCTTTTTATGAAACTTTAGTGAATCATTAAATGCGTCAAAATAATTCGATACTAACACTTATACGTAGTATAGGTGAAGTAGAGTTCGTATCCACTGTAGATGACCATTTTAGCTATTTTTACATATAATTTTTTCTTTATTTTATTAATAAAATATGTTTTAAAAGTATTTTTTCTTAAATCAGTAGAATCATTAAATGCAGCCAATGTAGCCAAAATTTCATAAATTTCAGCAGAAGCAGCCAAATCAGCCGATTTTCGTGCTACCAAATGGGCTCTCTATCTATTATGTTCATTATGTGTATAAGAAGAATACTAATGCTATCAAACTTGTTATAAGGAATTGTTTTACGCGTGTAAGTCGAGACTATTGTACCCTTTGCATATTTCCGAATAGGTATACTTTAGAATTCTTTGGTCTCGTTGTGCAAAAGGTACACAAGCTTTTACATATGCTTGATCGAGACCGGTTCGATTCATACTCTAAGTTATTGTAACCGTTATAAAAATTTTAACTAATGAATTGGTTCGGTTCCTATATAATAAATCAAGAATCATTATGGAATTCAACAAATACTAAACGGTTCGGTTCTAGAATGTTTTTCGTCCATGTAAGACTTAATACATAATTTACTTTCGGGAAAGTTCCCGAAATAGGACTAAAACAATTTGAAAATTCCAAAATAGGACTGTCATGTTTTTTATTCCCAAAATAGGACTAATTACTGTCATGTTTAGAAAATACTGCCATTTTTGAAGTCTGGTACTGCCAAAACATGACAGTAATTAGTCATATTTTGGGAATAAAAACATGACAGTCATATTTTGGAATTTACAAACTGTTTTAGTCCTATTTCGGGTAATATCTCTTTACTTTCTGCAGCATAACAACATAAAAAATTCAAAAGACACAAGTGAGAACTTAACATAATAAAATATAATGAAATCTTCATTTAATAAATAAAACATATTTTTTTTTTGTTATGTGGTAGCAATGAAGGTTATTCATCATGTTTATTATATATATAAAAATGGAACCGTAGTCCAAATAACCGTTCCCGCCAAGAACAATGTATGCCTCTTCATCATATAAAACGTTTGTACAATATCCGGTTGTTTTTTGTACACGCTACCATACATGTCCAATCACATGAATATCACATGCTAGGCTTTTGACATTAAAAAATTGTGCAACACATGTCAACAAATTAAATGTATGAAATGTTAACCATATGGGATGAATGTCAAAGGCTTCCGCAGTGCACCATGTCGAGCTTGATGTTTGTCCAAGTGGAATTTAATTAATTTAAATTGAAAATAAATTATGTAATTTGAGATTTCCGTAACTGTCCACCAATAACTAATTCCAAAGAAAACTCCCATTCATGCCCACAATACCATTTTATATGATGAGTCACCTATTTAACTAGCTTTGAAGGATGTGACAGTAGGATTAATGTCATTTACATTTATTTGAGACAGTTCAGCTCCACATAACCGTAGAAAGAACGCATTGGATCAGAAATAAATAAACCCTTTATTATTCAATGATGTAGCCAACTTTATTTTAATGTTAACGATCTAGCATTGGAGATGCTCTAATTAATCTAGGTAGCTGACTGGAACTAACAAATCAGTTCTTTGACAATTCTTGAAAACACATTCCCACGTTCCAGCCACTCAATGTTGGATAACCACTTGGTAATTAAGGTTGTATAAACAACACTAATTTCAAAATCAAATGACACCTACGTGTGTGTCCGATCATATTTGTTAAAGCAATCTTCTACTAAAATGTTAGTTCTATAAATGTTACTAATTCGTTGTTCCAAGAATTTATTAATTGGAAATTTATTACTACAAAAAGATATTGTTTCCAGAGTTTTGGACTTTCGGCTACAACAAGAGTACATGTTCTTCAACAAAATCTTCGACCTAAACCTCAAGAGAGACAATCTAGACACTAAGAGCGACACTTATCCGTTCTAATGCTTTCCCAGCGTACTAAATTTTCGCCATTTAGAATTTAGGAACAGAATAAGGGAACAAGTTTTAGAATTTGAGATTAAACAATTTGTAGAAAACAATAAGTTGAGAAATATTTCTCTCTTCCCTTTGGAACTCCAACCAACATTGGGTAGAAATCTCCCCCTAATAGAATAAAGTTGATGTTATTAATTGGACTAAGATTTCATATTCTGATTTAGTCTGGTCTAATCTAATACCAGTATGATTTATTCTGATTTAAGTCTACTCTTATTAATGTCTGATTTTGGTATATTTCAAGATTGTCAAATTCCGATCTGATCTTTTTAAACCTGGTTTAATTTGATCCCATGTGTTAAAACCAAAAAAACATCTTGAAATGAAGATTAGTTAGTCTTTTTATCAAAATTCTGGATAGTTATGTCGCTCGTAAGCTGTAATGGAAATGCATTTCCTAAAAAGATGAAACGCATTTTTTATTTAACGCTTTTATTAAGATTTCTTAGGTGGATGGTTCGTTGAGAACTTGAGTGAGATTCACAAGTATAAATAGCTCACCTACATCAAAGCTGTACACCTACCTTCTTCCATTCATCCGACCAACCAACCAACCAACCTCCACACTGCCGAAACTCTTCTCACAGCCAAATTGAAGGTACAAATCCAAATTTTCTCACATTGGAATTATCTCATTCGAACAGTTTTACATCGACTTTTTATCTGAGTAGATCAGATTTCATGTTTAATGTTGAAATCTGGAGTGATCTAGGAATTTATACTGGTGAGGGGAAATGGCTCGCAAGAAGATCAGAGAGTATGATTCTAAGAGATTGTTGAAGGAGCATTTTAAGAGGCTTGGTGGTAATGATTTGGCAATCAAATCTGCCCAAGTTAGTAGCCCCTATTTTTCTCGTATAATTTATTATAGTTTTCTTTCCCTGGGTGAACAAATGAATTTATGTAGTAATTTAATTTATTTTAATCAGCTCAAATATCTATGCCAGCTTATTGGAGCATTATTAGTGTAATCCTAAATTGCTTGAAAGGGAATTTTTAGTTTTCATTTCTAGTTTAGTAGTCCGAGACCCAATCGTTTTGAATCAGTCAGGCAGTAAACTTGTTAGGACAAAGAAAACTTGTCAGGAGACGCCTTTAAGCCGGTCTTCTAAGGTAGATAAAGATGCAAACTCACATATAAGGCATAAGGCTGAACCCAAGTCTTAATAGATGAATAAAAACGAAGGGAATATTTCGTTTAGTGATCAATGTAGGTACAATTGTGATAATTCAACCATAGTGGTAGGATTAAAAGCCTGTGTGAAAATACAGACATGAGAAATTGCAGTGTTATAATTTACCTCAACTAAGCAGTAGTAAAGTTTTTGCTTTTCTTGGGTTTAGGTTATAGAATCAACTGATTTCAATGAGCTGGTTGAGAAAGAGTCTTGGCTCTCCTCAACAAAGCTAGTTGTAAAGCCCGATATGCTTTTTGGGAAACGCGGGAAAAGCGGTTTGGTTGCCTTGAACCTAGATCTGGCTGAAGTCGCCATTTTCGTCAAGGAAAGGCTTGGCAAGGAGGTAAGCCCCAAGTTCTGCTCAATCTGTTATGTACAAATCTAACCTTGTAGATACATTTCTGATCTTCTTAACACTAACAGGTTGAGATGGGAGGATGTAAAGGTCCCATAACAACTTTCATTGTTGAGCCATTTGTCCCACATGCAGAGGAGTTTTACCTTAACATCGTCTCCGATAGGCTAGGATGCAGCATAAGCTTTTCAGAGTGCGGAGGAATGGAAATAGAGGAGAATTGGGACAAGGTACCTCAACCACTCTTGTTTAATACTCCCTCCGTCCCTTATAATTTTGCCAAGCTTGACTGACACGTGGAGCAATAAAGTAAAAATTGTGTGGTTGAGGTTTGTGCAAATGAGAGAGAAATAATAATAATCACAAATTAATTGCTTAAAATTGAAAGTGTTAAAGTTCTTGAGACAACCAACAAAAGTAAAGATGACAAAGTTATGTGAGATAGAAGGAGTAATATTACATGTCTAGCAACATCTTTATTTGCCTTTCTATTAATGTTTCTCACGTCCATAATTTACCCACGTAGTATCACCCTATAAGGATGTACTCCCTAACTTTGTTGATGGGGTTTTAAGGTTGTCACTCATCCTTGGCTAGTATATGCTGGGCTCAATTTAAGGGAGAATTACATGGCATCATTGACTGGTCCGGAGCCCCCACCGTTGATGAGTGCTACAATCCGGGCCAGCTGCCTTTGCTTCAGAGACATTAATTGTAGTAGTAGTAGTGCAGCTACTGCGCAGCCGCAGCAGTTGTCTTTATTTGTGAAATTTTATCCTCAGGTGTCCAATTTTACATTTATTGATTATTTGTAAATCAGAATGTTATCAGAAAGTCTTTTTGTAGTTCATTCTTATTTAAATTAATTGAATTAAAAATCTTATTGTAGTCTGGTTATTGTCCACACTATGTGGATCCCTATCCCAGCTAGCATGTGGGGACTTGTTAAAGTAGAGCAGAGACTAGAGAGTAACAAGGCCATCCTAATTAGGAAGCCTTGTGCTGATTAAAAGTTAAAGTTATGTTCAATTGTATCTAGAATTATGTTACTGCCATGTCTATTTAAAAAATATAAAGCGTTTTTATGAAATAAAAAGAGTTTTGTAAATACAGAATTTTCATCCAGTGCCATGTGTAATAGACAGCCCTGGAATGTAGCATAACATGTGTCTCTTCATCCAGTACTGTGTCTAATATTGACACCACAATCCCATTCTATCCAGGTCAAGACCATATTTGTGCCAACGGGGGTTTTGTTTACTTCAGACTTGTGTGCTCCACTTGTTGCAACCCTTCCACTTGAGGTAATGTAAGGAATCACAAGTTGAAGATGTTATGATTTGGTTCAAGTCTTTTGCTGACCGAAGTTCAGCTCGCTGAGAGTTTTGGACACATGGTACTAAAAAGATCTGTGTGTGACATGAATTTTTGTACTTGGTGCAGATAAAGAGTGTGATTGAGGACTTCATCAAAGTGGTATATGCACTATTTTTAGGTATGTTCACGGAAAGATGTGCCCACACTGTTGAAGCATTTTATGCCTTATGTGGATGTGTGATGATAGGCTTCCACTTTTTTTTTTTTAATCTTCCCTTGTCTTTTAGATTTGGATTTCACTTTCCTTGAGATGAACCCATTCACGTTGGTTGAAGCAAAGCCTTATCCACTAGACATGAGGGGGGAGCTCGATGATACTGCTGCCTTTAAGAACTTCAAGAAGTAATCTATATGCTTTGTTTAATGTTTGTTTTTGCATTCTTGGCATTGATACAAATGGTTCTTATTTACTTGCTACTTCACACAATTCAAATCTTGCAGGTGGGGGAATATTGAGTTCCCTATGCCTTTTGGAAGAGTTATGGGTGCTAACGAAAGATTTATCCACGGGTTGGATGAGAAGGTATTTGTTTTTAAGTACCTGAATTATTTGCAACACGGGAATGAAATATAAATGATAAACGGATAGGGGCCATGGAAATTTGGGGAGTTTACTCTCTCCCTGATTTCTTCTTAATTTTTCTTGGATATTGTATTACCGTAGCAAAGCTCCCTTTTAGAAGGGAGATTACATCAAAACATGCATATGTATGGAGAAAACAAGGAACGGAAAATACTAGAAAATCACTTCCTAAAATAGATTAACTATTAAAGGTATTAAAATTAAATTATAATAAAACCAATTAAACAAATCAATCAGCTAAAACTCCTCATTATTCTACTTGATTGCTCTTTTTATTTTTTCATAATATTAAATTGTAGCATGTATCATTGCACCCCTCTTGGAAAATCAAGCTTGCCCTCAAGCTTGAAATCTTGAACCTGATGTTGAATCACTGCAACAATAAAAGTGTCAGTGATCCTTGTATTATTGAAGAAGATTTAAAGTCACTCTTAGAGGTGGACTATGATGAAGGTGATCATCATCCATTAAAAACTTCTTCGAATACTACGGTAAACTGGAACAGTTCTAGTGGACCAAAATGGATCTGAAGTCCAAGAAGTTCATCTTGGGGAGTTTATCTGGATTATCGGTGTTGTGGACAAAGTTGGCTTTGAAGATGTTGTGGTGGAAGAAACGCTGACGGTTGTTGAGGTAGAACTTCTATAAATGAAGTATTTACTGATGGTGGTGCTTCATCGCCTACCAAGGAGTCCACTGGTTGGGACAGGTTTGCAATCTGGTTAGGAAGCTCATCATATACCATGGAGTCCATAGATAAGGAAAGGTTGGCAATCTGGTTAAAAAGTTTCTGAACACACTCCTGTAATGGTTGCAGTGCTTCCTGCACCTTTTGCACTGCATTTTGCAGCTTGTGAAGATGCCCTTTGCTTGTTATTTTTGATAGGAGTGTGTGCACTGATCTTGTGGGACTATGGCTTGGTTGTGATAGGATCCTCACTATCTCAGTACAATCAATAGAAATCAATCAAGCAGAAAAGAAGAAAAATGAGATTTCATTCACTGAAGGTAAACCGTACAAGAATTGTCCCAAAGAAGGAGATAGAACTCCAACTTCCCAGTCCCAGACAAATGATCTAACAAGAGCCTGCCTTCCCTCTGCAGATTTATTCTATTTATAACCTTCACAAACGAAGGTAGTTATTAGTTACTAACAGCTTTTAACTAATAACTAGCTAGTCAACTTTGACTTTCTAGAATAGACTTGCCCATAGAATCTATTCCTATTAGTTAGACTAGCCGGGTCCTTATCAATACCCCCTCCTTGAACTACCAACTTGTCCTCAAGTTGGAATTCAGGAAATTGCTCTTGTATTACTTGAATATCCTCCCATGAGTCTTCAAATTCAGGAAGTTCCTTCCAATGTATAAGGACCTCCTTCTTCCCTTCCTGATTTAGCCTGATATCTCTCACACCTTCAGGTCTCACTTGCAGCTCACAATCTTCTGTGAGGCAATCTGGGAGGTTTTGGTAATTCACGGTAGGTTTCAGTGCCTTCTTCAACAAGGATATATGAAATACTGGGTGGATTCTACTCCCTTCTGGTAACTTGAGTTTGAAAGCTACAGAACTGAGCTTCTCTGCAATGTCATAGGGACCATAGAATCTTGGGCTTAGCTTTTGATTGATCTTCTTAGCTAAACTTTTCATCTTATAGGGTTGTATTCTGAGAAAGACTTTATCTCCTACTTCCGGTATTTCTTCCCTCCTATGTTTGTCAGCCTGTTGCTTCATCAAATTCTGAGCTCTGGCCAAATTGTCTTTCAATTCCTTCAACATGATATTCCTTTCAGCTGTCAATTTGGCCACTTCATCTATTGCTGACAAAGTAACATCTCCTCGAATGATAGAAGGGGGATGTTGTCCAAATAAGGCCTGGTAGGGAGTACCCTTCAAAGAACTGTTGTAATTAGTGTTGAACCAGTATTCAGCCCAAGGAAGCCACTTCACCCACTGTCTAGGTTGCCTGCCACTCAAACACCTTGTATAAGTCTATAGACACCTGTTCACCACTTCAGTTTGCCCATCACTTTGAGGGTGATAAGCTGTGTTGTATTTCAGTTTTGTCCCTGTCAATTTGAATAGCTCAGACCAAAATGAACTCAGAAAAATGCTATCTCTGTCACTTACAATGGATTTGGGAAATCCATGTATCCTTACAATTTCCTGCACAAAAACTTCAGCTACTCCCTTGGCATTAAAAGGATGAGCCAAGGGTATAAAATGTGAAAACTTAGTCAGTCTGTCCACCACTACTAAGATAGTGTCTTTGCCCTGGGGTTTTGGAAGACCTCCAATAAAATCCATGCTTATATCAGACCACACATGATCTGGAATGGGTAAAGGTTGAAGCAATCCTGCAGGTTTCAGTGCCTGATACTTGTTTCTTTGACATGTTTCACACCCTTGAATGTAGTCCTTGATGTCTGATTTCATACCTTCCCAAAAAAACAGATTTGAGATCCTCTTCATGGTTCTGAAATATCCTGAGTGGCCCCCTACCGCAGAATCATGGTATTCTTTCATAATAGTCTGAATTCTGTGGGTTCCTTTTGGCAATACCAGCCTCCCCTTATAGTATAGCAGCCCTCCCTTCATTTTGTAATCCATACACAAATCAGGCTGTATCACTATCTTCTGAATCATTTCCCCCCATTTAGAATCCTTCTCAAGTTCTTCTCCCAAACCCTCCCATTCCTGGCAAGTCACTGTGGAAAGGGCTACATAGGTAGCTTTTCTGGATAGGGCATCTGCAACTTTGTTCTCAATCCCTGGTTTATATTTAATAATAAAATTGTACCCCATAAGTTTAGCTATCCACTTTTGTTGGTCTTCCCCCATTACCTTCTGTTCAGTCAAATGCTTCAAACTTTTTTGGTCAGTATGAACCTCAAAGTTTCTTCCAAGGAGGTAAGGTCTCCACTTCTGAATGGCAAACACAATTGCCATGAGTTCCTTCTCATAGATGGATTTAGTCAAATGTCTAGGTGATAATTCTTTACTCATGTAGGCAATAGGACCCCCTTCCTGCATAAGCACAGCACCCAGACCTTTCCCAGAAGCATCTGTCTCTATCACAAACAGTTTTGTAAAATCTGGTACCCTCAAAACAGGTAATGAAGTCATGGCCTCCTTCAGATCATTGAAAGCTTTAGTAGCCAATTCTCCCCATTTAAACCCATCCTTTTTGAGTAAAAGAGTAAGAGGTGCAACAATCTTACTATACCCTTTTACAAACCTCTTGTAGTACCCAGTTAACCCCAGGAAACCCCTCAGTTCCTTCAAGTCTCTGGGTATAGGCCAGTTCTTCATAGCTACAATTTTCTCAGGATCAGCTGCCACCCCTTCTACAGAAATTATATGACCCAGATAACTCAGTTGATCCTGTCCAAATGAACACTTCTTGATATTTGCTACCAATTGATTATCTTGTAAAGCTCCCAGTACTTCTCTTAAGTGCTCTTTATGATCATCTCTAGTTTTACTGTAAACTAAGATATCATCAAAGAACACTAGAGCAAATTTCCTCAGAAAAGGTCTCAACACCTCATTCATAAGAGATTGAAAAGTTGATGGTGCATTGGTCAGCCCAAAAGGCATAACTAGGTACTCATCATGCCCTTCATGAGTCCTAAAAGCTGTCTTATGAGTATCACTGGCCTTCATCCTGATCCGGTGATATCCTGCTTTAAGATCTAGCTTTGAAAAAATTCTGGCACCACCTAACTCATCAAGAAGTTCCTCAATCACTGGAATAGGAAACTTATCAGGTATGGTCATCTTATTTAAAGCCCTATAGTCTCCACAAAACCTCCAGCCCCCATCTTTCTTCCTAGCTAAAAGAATGGGGCTACTATAAGGGCTATTGCTGTTTTTTATAATTCCAGACTTCAACATTTCAGCTATGATTTTCTCAATTTCATTCTTCTGATCAAAGGAGTACCTGTATGGTCTGATATTGGGTATATCTGCTCCTTCTTTAATATTAATGGCATGATCACAATCTCTGCCAGGTGGAAATTTCAGAGTTGCTGTGAATACTTCTGGAAAGTCTGCAATCAACCCTTCCCATTCTCCTCCATCTGTTTTATGTTCCTGAACCCCCTGTTGTCCCTCATAGTATAACATATAACCATCCCCCACCTGGTGTAGTATGTGAGCCATAGTTTTCATTGAAACCTCCATCTGATTTGTTACATTGTTGCCTTTTATCATGCAAGTGACTCCCTGATTCTTCCATTTGATTATTTGCTGTTTAAAATTGACCTCCATATTCCCCAGCTCAGTCAACCATTCCATTCCCAAGACTAAATCAATTCCTCCCAATTCCAGTACATAAAATGTTTGATGAATATCAACTCCTTGTATATTGACACCAACTTCAGTGCATTGGCCTAGATTAGGAATGTGATCCCCATTCCCTATTTGTACCTTATACCCCTTGATTGGATTATAAGGTATATCCCACCTTTCTGCCAAAACTTTGGACATAAAGTTATGGGTGGCCCCACTGTCAATCAGAATAGTTACCTCCTTCTCTTTACCCTGCCACTTCAATTTCCCTCTCACCTTGAAAGTTGTCATGGAAGAAATGCCCTCCTTGCTTAAAATGGATAGCTGCATTTTATTCATGTCCATCTGATTTGAATTATTGTACTGGCTCCCTTCTGATTCTTCATATTCCACATCAGAGATTTCCTCTCCTTCAGAATTCTCTATTAGAATCATCTTGTAATTCTTCATTTTGCAAACATGTCCTCTTCCCCAGGTTTCTCCACATTTAAAACATAGGCCCTTTTTACTTCTCTCCAGTAATTCTTCTTGAGACAGTCTAGGCCCCTGCCTCCTCACCATCTGTTCCTTCACCTCAATGTTGTTTTTATTATCAACTGTCACTTTAGAAGAATTTCCAAAGTGATTGGTGGTTCCAGGATGGCTTCTCCACCTGCTGTTTTCATTCCAATTCTGCCCTGATGACTGACTGATAACCTTGTTCTGACTCTTCTTCTTACTTTCCTCCTTATTTTTCATAAAAACAGCTTCAATGTTTTTATTCTCAATCAAGGAAACTGTATCCATAATTTCAGCTAAAGTTCTGGTAGTATATAGCTTCAACTCTGCCCTTATATCCCTCTTCAGTCCCTTGAGGAAGACTCCTTTCAGCACTTCTTCAGATAAGTGTTCCTGAGATGAAATGGCTGTTTCAAATTGGTTTCTATACTCAGCGATAGAACCTTTCTGCTTCAGACTGAATAGAGGTCCCAAAGGATCCTGTACTACTTCCGGCTGAAATCTCCTGATCAACGCCTTAGTAAATGCGTTCCAATCCCTTCTACTGGTTTGCAGATTTCACATCAATCGCCAGCATCTTCTTCCACTACGCCAGTCGATTCTCACTTTTCGACAACTTCATCATCGAAGACTCTGACGCACGCTGTTTCTCAGAGTACACAGGTTTTGTCACCATCATATTCTCCTGGTTCGCAGCTTAAGTCTGTTTATCAACGGCAATCTCAGCTTAAGTCTCATAATTCGTCTCCAGCGAGTCTTTCTGTGTTCGTCTATCCTCACAGTTCGCAGACTCCATCTCTACCTGTTGTTCTGAGTTCTCAGGATGAGACACATTCGGCTTCTCCCAGTACGCCAGCATCTTTTCAAATCGCTTCTCACAGTCCACAAGTTCTATCGCGCGGCCTGGAGCTGGTTAGCTGGCAGCAAACTCACTCTGAAGATACTTTCATCTATGGTGACGAAGGAAAAGAGGAGAAATCTGCTGTGGTGACTCAAGCCTCTAGTGCCATTGAACATGAATCGGCTGATGATTCAAATACTACTATCACAGTAAAAGTAGACGAACATCAAGCTACCTCAAAGACGGCTGCTATTAATAGAATTAATAGCGAAGAGAGAGATGCAGTATTCCACAGAGTCATAGAGAAAGGAATATCATCACACATTATACATGATGTCACTACAATGCACCGGTCAATAAAGGATATGGCCATAACTCAGAAAGAGGAACCTTTAGGGAACATTGTGAGAACCAGTTCTCTGGATTTTGGTGTCGGGACTGCTTGTATAGAGGGAATTGAGAAAATAGCAGAGGGAAACATTATGAAGAAGGATGCAGATTACGAGATATGTATGGGTTCTCGGAATAAAGTTGTTGAGGTTCTGGAAATTCCAAATCAGCCGTTAGGTCGCTACTTTGAAGATTGTAAGGTGTTGGTTGACAGTAGGTTACTATCAGAATGGCAAACTGATAAAGAAAAGGAATCAGCAGCAGTTTATGCTGGCTCGGAAACCACTATTGATGCCAGAAAGACTGTTGAAATTGTTAGGGGAATGGCACAGAGAGGGATGAAGATTGAAAGGCAGGGTTGCATTGTTCGAATCTACAATGGGGGGCAAGGTTTGGGTCCACGGTCTGAGTTTGGAGTAGATCCTAGCTCTGGAATAAACTCAAGGTATCATGTTGAGCAAGTTGTTAAGTGCAGAGAGGTCAGTTCTACCCTTACAACAACTCGAGTCAACTGCAGTACAACAAGACCGATAAGGTTGTCCGAAAAGGAATTGGTTAAACCGGGAAAGGAAAGCGTTCTTTCAGAAAACATGATTGGCAAGCTTCTAGTCTGGGGCTCCTCAGATCCTGGATTGAGAGGGGCTGATGAGAGTGATTTTGAATATCATTCTGGTGGAATCAATGTGGAACTGGACCCTACCCTTCAGGCGGTTGTGTTTGATGTCTCCCAGATAGGGTACCTCGTGGATCAATTTTTAAAACAAGAAACTGTGAAGGGAATCCCATCTGCCAGAACATTGAGGGATGTACTGAATACTCATTGTGAAGCTATTCAACAAGCAATCTGTAATCGTAGCTCTCTTCATTGGCAATCCAAACAGGAGATTGGGCAGATTGGTAAAACTCAATTCCAGCTTGAACAAAGCTATCAGTGTGGTAATGATGATACTCTGAAGATAGGGGATCTATTGAGGCTTTTGTTAGAAGAAGAAACGAGGAAGATTCAAGCATGGAAGATCTTAATCCAGCAACCAGTCAAGTACTTGGAGGGAAGAGGTGCAAGAATAAAGTGGAAGTGGAAGATCATGGCTGATTCCTATCACCCACCTTGAGGACAAGGTGGTTGTTTAGGGGGGAGTATTGATAGGAATGGGCCTATTATGATAGGAATGGGCCTATTATTGTAGATAATAATAAGTGGGCTTTTACTATAAATAGAAGTTAATAAGCTAGCAGAAGTAGACTGTCATTTGGTTGGACTTAGACTTTGGAGACTGGGCATCTTGAATTGTCCGTGGCTACTGTATCCCTTCTGTTCGGTTCATCATATTGAATAGAGCTTTCGATCTGTTCTTCTACAATTCCTACTGATTCCCATCATTCTTGTACTTGATTGCCCTTTTATCTTTCCATAATATTACTCCATCCAATCAAAATAACTCTCTCATTTTCCTTTTCACGTAGTTTAAGATAATTATTGTAGACTTCACAACAAGTAAGTCTTTGGTATTGTAGCAGTAGTACTGTATACTTTATACTTTATAAAAGTGTGCTGTATTTGCTTTTGGGGTTGATTTCTTTCAAAAAAGGGAAATGAGAAAATTATTTTAGGGTTGGTACAACCCGAAAAAGAAACTAGGATAATTATTTTGATAAGTAAATATCGTATTATGCATAATTTCTTGAGTCCTATTTCTACATGGTTTTATATACTAAAATTTTGATTTTCCCCATTGATAGATGGTGTTCATCTTTGAAGCTCTTTTAGTTAATTATCTTATTTCTCCTGTATTTCCTAAATAAAAGACACTTTTACCAAATACAAAGATTAAGATAATGAAACATGTATAATTGAGATTATTTACTTACTTACTTACTGTTAGCATGAGCCCTCAAAGCATGCTTTTTGTTTATCTATGGAATAACTATTTTCTTGATTTGACCGCAGACAAGTGCATCATTGAAGTTCACGGTTTTGAACCCAAAGGGACGAATTTGGACAATGGTGGCTGGCGGAGGTGCCAGCGTCATCTACGCTGATACGGTGTGTTTCTGTTCTTAAAACATTTTACCGATGGAATGCTTATATGTGTCATTGTTGTTTCTTAGTACCATAGATTTGCCTTAAACCAGGTTGGAGACCTTGGATATGCTACTGAGCTTGGGAACTATGCTGAATACAGTGGAGCTCCTAATGAAGAGGAGGTCTTGCAGTATGCCAGAGTTGTAATTGATGTAAGAACAGTTAGTTTAGTGTGTTAGACGTTTTGTTTTTGAGAAAATAAAAATTTTATTGGATAAAACCGAAAGAAAGTACAAGCACTAATGAGGGAAATAAGCAAAAGAGACTAACCAAAGCTAATGCTAGTGAGGAAATAGAATTAATGAGCAATGAAGTCCAAGTGAAAAGATATAGACAATACCCATATTAGTCTTTCTATTACTCCGTATTTTAGTTATTACCATTCGCTTCCAAGACTCAATTTGATTATGTAAGTTTTAGGAATAAAACTTCCTTGATTGAATGAGCCATACGGTCAGAGTATAAATACACTTTGTACATATAACTATTAGCTAGTACAGATCCTCAAAATTAGGATCTAGATAACTATGAGCTTATCTACAACTAACTAAGTCTATCCAACTAAATATGTACATCAATCTAATCAGAAGAAATAATGTAACATTTTTCTAATAATGTAACATTTTTCTACACTCCCCCTCAAGTTGGTGAATATATATCATACATTCCCAACTTGCTTATAAGTAGCTCAAATATAGGTCTAAATAACCCTTTGGTGAAGATATCAGCTATTTGATCTTTAGTGGATACAAATGGTGTGCAAATGATTCCAGCTTCAATCTTCTCCTTAATGAAATGTCTGTCCACTTCAATATGCTTAGTTCTATCATGTAGCACAGGGTTATGAGCAATGCTTATAGCAGCTTTATTATCACAATATAACTTCATAGGCAGCCCAATCTCCATCTTCAGTTCTGTGATTACTCGTTTGATCCAGAGTAACTCACATATTCCATTAGCCACAGCTCTGAATTCTGATTTTGCACTACTTTTAGCAATCACATTTTGTTTCTTACTTCTCCAGGTTACTAGATTTCCCATACATAAGTGCAGTATCCAGAAGTAGATCTCCTATCAGATATTGAGCCAACATAATCTGCATCAGTAAAAGCTTCAATTGTCCTATTGTTTCCCTTTTTGAAAAACAATCCCTTCCCTGGACAGCTCTTCAGGTATTTCAGAATCCTGTAAGTAGCATCAAGATGTTCTTGGAGAGGATGATGCATAAACTGACTCACCATACTTACTGCAAATGCAATATCTGGCCTTGTGTGTGCCAGATATATTAATTTTCCCACCAATCTTTGATATTGGTAAATATCAAATGGAATTTCCTCCTTGATATCTCCCAATTTCTGACTTGGGTCAATTGGAGTGTCTGCTGGTTTGCAGGCACTCATTCCAATTTCCTGTAGAAGATCTAGGATATATTTTCTTTGTGAGACAACAATACCCTTCTTTGATCTAGCTATCTCCATTCCTAGGAAAATTTTTAAATTTCCTACGTCTTTGATCTCAAATTCATGAGCAAGTTTGTCTTTCAACCTTTTAGTCTCTGTGTGATAATTTCTGTGAGGATAATATCATCTACATAGACAATTAAGATTGCAATCTCCCCCTTACCTGAAAACTTCATGAATAAAGTATGGTCAGCTTGAGCTTGATTAAATCCTTGCTTCTTTATGAACTTTGTGAATCTGTCAATCCAGGCTCTTGGAGACTGTTTAAATCCATATAAAGCCTTCTTTAATCTGCAAACTTTTGATCCAAACTTATTTTCAAACCCAGGAGGAGGTTCCATGTACACTTCTTCTTCAAGTTTCCCATTTAAAAAAAACATTCTTCACATCCAGTTGTTGTAATGGCCAGTCTAAATTGGCAGCAAGAGATAAAATAATTCTTACAGTGTTTAACTTTGCAACTGGTGCAAAGGTTTCTGTGTAATCAATTCCATAGGTCTGTGTGTAACCCTTGGCAACTAATCTTGCCTTATACCTCTCCAAACTTCCATCTGCCTTAAACTTGAGAGTGAAAATCCACCTGCAACCAACTGTAGGTTTGTTTTTAGGTAACTCTACAAGCTTCCATGTCTGATTCTTTTCAAGAGCCTCCATCTCCTCCAAAACAGCTTTCTTCCACTCAGGTTTAGATAGAGCATCATGTATGGTTGAGGGAATAGAAACAGAAGAAATATTGGAAGCAAAGGCTGTAAAATCTGGGGTCAAGTTAGAATAAGAAACATAGTTTGAGATGGGGTATTTAACACATGTTCTTCTCTCTTTTCTGAGAGCAATTGGAAGGTCAAAGTTGCTAGAAGTATTACCTTTTTCACTTCCTGGCATTGAGGCAGAATCATGGACAGTTGTAGGTTCTTGGACTTCCTCTATTCTTTGATTTCTAACCCTTCTCTCATAAACTTTTCCAAAGAATTGATTTGTCTGTTGATCCTTTTCAATTGGTTCAGTTGGATTTACTTCATTATTTTTTATTTCTTGATCATTTTCATGTGTACTGGTATTTCTAAAGAAATTATCATCCATATTAATATCAAGAAAATTAAGGTTTTCATGAATATGTGGCACTATTGGAACATCTTCACTTAATTTCTCCCCCTGAAGATGAGAATCCAAAAAAGGTTGTTCTTCCACAAAAAAAATATCCATAGTAACAACCATTGTTTTGGTTGTAGTTACAAAACATTTATACCCTTTTTTAGTGGCAGAAACACCTAGAAAAACACATTTTTTCCTCTAGGATCAAGCTTACTTGCAGATCTATCTGGATTTTTTATAAACACTGTGCAACCAAATTTTTTTAAAGGAAGGGTGTTTACCAATCTATTTGTAGGAAAGAAGTGTTGTAGTGAACTGATAGGACTTTTAAATCCTAAAGTTTTGGATGACATGCGATTAATTAAATAAGTAGCATGTAACACTGCCTCTCCCCACAAATATTTTGGTATGTTTGTTGAAAACATGATTGCACGAGTGACTTCAAGCAAATGTCTATTTTTCCTTTCTGCAATTCCATTTTGAGCTGGTGTATTGACACAAGAGCTTTGATGGATAATGTCTTTTTCAGTAAAAAAGTTGTTCAAAGTTTGAGAAAAATATTCACGGCCATTATCACTTCTTACCATTTTAATTTTGGTATTGAATTGAGCCATAGCATAAAATGCCCTAAATATTTTCTCAACTTCAGATTTTTCTTTGATTAAAAATACCCATGTGACACGAGTATGATCATCAATAATAGTTACAAACCATCTCTTTCCCTTTAAAGTTGGTGTTCTAGATGGACCCCAAATGTCACTATGTACCAAGGTAAAAGGACTAGTAGGTTTATAACTGTGGAGTAAATAAGTGTTTCTGTGATGTTTTGCAAGTGCACACATATCACAATTAAACAAAGAAGCATATTTATTCAGAAATAATTGAGGAAACATCTTTTTTAAATAATAGAAACTAGGGTGTCCTAGTCTATAATGAAGTAAATACAAATCTTTATTATTTGAAAAAGAAACAGTTTGCAAACAAGCATTTCTTGGACCTCTTTTATTTGATTGAGTTTCTCCATCAAAGATATAGAGTCCATCCTCCTCCTTAGCACTGCCAATCATCTTCCCCGATGCCAGGTCCTGAAAAATGCAATAAGAAGGATAAAAAATAACACAACATTGTAGATCTTTAGTTATTTGACTAACTGAAGCAAGATTGCAGGATAGATTAGGGACATGAAGGATTTTGGATAGATTCAGTGATGAGGAAATACTAATATTTCCCATCCCTGCAATGGCTGATAGAGAACCATCTGCAACCTTAACCTTTTTATCCCCTGCACTAGGTTTATATGAAAAAAGATTTGAAATAGAGGTCATGTGATCAGTAGCCCCCGAGTCAATAACCCAGGAATTTTTAGATTTCCCAGAACAAAAAAATGATGAATAGGTACCATTTTGGGCATAAGAACAAGAGGAAGATTTTGGTTCGGATTCTTTCTGGGAATTTTGGGTTTTCTGGGAATTAAGGAAGTTAAGAAGTTGCCCTATCCGCTCCTGAGTGAATGAAAGCTGATTGAACTTGACTTGTGGTTCTTGTTGAGTCTCAGTCACAGTTGTTTGTAAGGCCTTCTCAGTTTTTTTCTTTCCTGCTCCTGGTGATTTGCCATGAATTTTCCAACAAGTCTCCCTAGTGTGCCATAATTTCTTGTAGTGATCACACCAGGATTTTTTCTTGTCATCACTCCTAGCCACCATTGTTGTACATAACCTTCTTCCTGCTATCCTCCATCCTGATTTCAGAAAATACCTCCCTCATAGAGGGTAGAGGTTTTTTTCCAAGTATTCTCCCCTTAACTTCATCTAGATCTCTATTAGTTCCTGCTAGGAACATGTAGACCCTATCATTTTCCTCTCTTTTTTGGTGTCTTGCTAGATCCTTGGCACTCTCCCACTTCTCATCATCATGGCACTGATCCAACTCTTACCATAGGGATACCATCTCATTATAGTAAGAGATGACATCTCTATTTCCTTGTTTGGACTGCCACAACTTGGTTTTTAATTCAAAAATCTGAGAAGAGTTCTCAAGATCTGAGTAAGTTTCCTTAATGGAATTCCATACCTCCTTTGCAGTTTTCATGAACATGTGAGGTTTGGCAATTGATGCATCCACTGAACTTAGAAGCCATGCTGTCACCAAGGAATTTTCTGACCTCCAAACACTGTAGCCATCATCACCAGTTTGTTTCTCCTTTATTTCACCAGTTATGTACCTTAGCTTGCCCCTTCCATCAATAGCCAGCTTGACAGACTGTGACCATTCGAGATAATTTGTGCCATTCAATCTATGGCCAGTAATGAGCATAGATGAATGAGCTGAGGTCTGGTAGTTTGTCATTAAGCTATTTTGGGAGTTAGGGTTATGGGTTTGTGAGTGGGGAGAAGAGTCAGAGTGCTCGGTTTCCACCATTGTGGTGTTTAAATGGCCTGCTCTGATACCATGTAAGTTTTAGGAATAAAACTTCCTTGATTGAATGAGCCATACAGCCAGAGTATAAATACACTTTGTACAGATAACTATTAGCTAGTACAGATTCTAAAAATTAGGATCTAGATAACTATGAGCTTATCTACAACTAACTAAGTCTATCC